GACACTCTTATCACCATTTCAGATCTACAATATTACAATACGAACTATGTACGTAATTCTTTAAAAACAATAAATAAAAATGTTTACAATCAACTTTCAATCTGCACACTTTGATAGCATCAATCATGCTGGCGATTCCTTTTTATTTTAATCTTTCCTTTTCACAATTCCATTCAATAAAACATCGGCTATATTTGTTGTCCCCTGCTTATGGTATCGTATCTGGAATGCTTACAAATGTACTTCTCTCCCCATTCCTATCAGCCGAGCCTTCAAAATTCATTATGGGTTTGTAGAATGCGTGTATTTGTCAAATACGTCATCATTTTAATCATTTGATAACAGTGCTCAACACAGTAATAACTAGATTGATGAAAATGATTGTATTCGTCGTTATTATCACTGATATCTTCGTGATGTTTTAACATCGACGGTTATCATTATTATCGGATCATTGCGATGCTTTGTTCTGATTTAGTTAGAACTTGATGGAGCGTTTGAGTATATTCAACATTGGAATCGATAATTCATCGCAATGTTTATTTTATGATCGACATGAGATTGAAACTATGAATAATCATTTACGATCATTTTGATTTATAATTTGGTACGTCAGCAAGTCGTGGATCCTTTTTGCATATCACATTACCCTCTGTAAATCTCTTTCCACCGAAAACTTCAACAACCTAGTCAAGTAATCATATTCAATGTGGATTCCGAGTCCTCCGCTCCTCTCCATCTTATGCAATAAACCTCATTCGCAACCTCGACTTTCCCGAGTCTCTTCCCATCAGTCAACTTCTTTTATTACTACACAATTTATCTCTTAATTGGTAGGCTTAAATGATTTTTCATAAACTATATGTGACATTTTGAAGACGTATATATACTTATTTATGCTGAGAACATGTTAGAAATCAAATGTATCCGGTAAGAAGGAAACTTTTAGTGGGCGATCGATAGGAATGTTTTCATTCCAAGTACATTAATCACTTGATCAATATTTGCTGTGGTTCGAAGAAAATGTCAGTTGTTTTTGTGGTGATACTGCGAGACAAGGTTAAGTGTATACGCGTTGTTCTTGTCCGTTATGAGCAGTTGCCGTTCTGAATTACTCTGAAGTGAGTTTATTTGCCGTACGAGCACCAAAAATCATTCGACGCAGTTGTCAAATCATCAGTGACATTTTGGCAGTTTATGATGAATTTTTATTTTTTTGGTGATAAAATTCATCTATTTGCCGCATTCGGTTGCTGCACGCAATGAAAGTTTTTATTGTGAATTTAAGCGATTCATTTCAATAATTTGTATTTTAGCCGTACACTGTGTGCTATTTCGGAGCGAAGGTTTAGGGTGAAGATTGGTAATGACTTTAGACTTTTTACTCCGTTAGCCATTATTCTTTTTCTTTGAAATCTGTTCCTTAATGGTTCTTTTTTTTTCGGACTGTAATATTTTCCTACGATTACTTTTGCTGATTTCTTGAAATTATTACACAGACAGTTGAGTATCGTCCAAAGCGATGATGTTCAACTACTGTCTTTGTGGCTGGCATTCATGATGCGAGCTGGATGTTCTTTATCACTTCTACAGGACAACTCAGATTTTGTCCATGATTTTGACTAGTCAGTGAGTCTTTCTTGGAAAAACCGATTGCTCAAGACTAAACTCCTTATTGGTCAATTTACAAATGAAATCTGTTCCATCAANTACGAATGGAAGAAGCATTTGACGTGTAAAATTTTGTACTCATGTACAATTTCGCATCAGTGATTTTCTGCGATTCAATTGCAAACTAACTCATCTAGGCATCCGTCCCTATAGAAAGTTTCTTCTCAGCTGTTCTCTGATTGATAACTGCAATCTATATCAAGTAGCCGATAGTGAGTGAATTTGAAGTGTTCGTAATTGCTTTTGCGTATATTAGGCAGGTGGCGAGAGAAGCAGAGGTTCACTGAAACTGGACGCTTATTGCTACACACTCAAACAGACGGCTGCCGTAGAGAGAGACGTAAATGAGTATCGATTGCTTGGCAATCTGATAACTCCATGTGTGCCTAAGATTTTAATATCGATGCATTTTAGAATGATCAGATTTGAACAGACTCGAATTTGGGATTAGACATACGCTTAGGCACTTACTTGTTTAGGCTCAGGTTTAGAAATGCTTGAAATGTATGTGCGTCGGGCCTGCAGGTTGCTTGTTGATTGCGCATCGTGGCTTGTGTTGAATAGTGGCACATTCGATTTGTGGCGATTCGTGGCGCGTTTTATTCATTCATTTCGTTTATTTGAAAATGATATGTAAATTTATGTCGTATTGATTTTATTTTTGTTTTATTTCAGCTTTATCTTGGTGTCGTTAATTTCGCATCATTTTGATTTTCTTAAATCTAATAGTAAGGTGAATTTTTATCCATTCGGATTGTTGAGAAGGACAGTGAGTGTTATTGTTGCTGTTTATCCAGTTCTAAGCAAGCGATTATCACGTATTAACGGCATTTCGTCACTGCAAGTGCCGGTGTTCAGGTGGTTTTATGAACAATAATTGATATTTGTGTTAACAAACAAACCGAGGAGTCTATATGGCAACCCACAGCTCTGCCATATTTCTTTTTCGTTACCTTGGTATTTGTGTCGTTAATCACCGTTATTAACAGGCAAACCAATAAGTAGGTCTGGCAATCACATCTCAGTCCTGTAACGTTTTATTGAGTCCGAATCGAACTAGCTGTTATGATCGGGAGCGGATTTTTAGAATGTGCTTTTCTTAATTCCAAACTGATTCTGTCTGTACCCCCAATCGAGTTGGCGTGAATTTGTTAAACAAACTGAAATTATTACTGTGATAGAGCACCTTTGAGCGTATTTGTCGACATTTATGTTCAGAAGAGAGGACTCATCAAAGCAACCGAAATCGTTTTGATAATATGTACTAATTGTTTGTTTTAACGAAGCATTCGGAATTTGCTCATATGAGGCGATAACTGCATTTTATTTCTACTCTCCCAAATATTCTGTATCCAGTAAACCTTAAAAACACGTTTTTGAAATAGAAATTCGGTTATTGTTTTCAGTAGAATAAAATAACTGCATTTTTTGTACTGACCGAATACTAACGCGCAAATGAGAGACACTCACTTGTTTAGTTCGTGTTCCGATAGAAATTGATTGTCAGAGTACAGAATTAATTATGGTGAAATGACGTTCGCCGTTTTGGCGGAGTCGTGACATCCTCTGGTGTGATGATACGTGTCACTGATTTTGTTCATTACTGATTCTCTTCATACTGCTCACATTCTAATTCTTCTTATTACTTTGATAATGAAATAATAATGTTAATAATAATAATAGTGATAATAATAATAATAATAATAATAATAGTAATAATAGCAANAATAATATTACCTCTGATCTAAAATCACCTCTTCCAGCGAATTTCCTCGGGTTATTCCTTCTTTTTTTCCTCCACTGCAAGCAATTTTTCGATTTCAATTTCCCGCTCATTTTAGCTTCTTCTTCAGTCTTATCTAAAATTTTAATTGCAAGTAATTTGTGTTGCAGTGTTTTTGATTATATGTTTCACCTGCCTAACCTTAGCAGTTAAGGAATTCCTCATAAAGTCTTCGATCTAGCACGCAGGATGATTCGTAATTCATGAAACTACCCATTATTAGACGATAAGCTTTTGATTTTAATCTACACAACTGAAGGATGGCAATTAATGCCAAACTTAAGAATAGCTTTGCGCTGTTATGATGATTACGTTTCATCGATATTGGAGTGTAAGCAAGTATTTATCGTAATAACATTCATCAATATTAGCATCATATGCATTTATTTACAGATTTGCTCGGATCTCGTAGCATTTACTAATTTCTGATTTTTCTCTAAAGTAAAGTAAATTTGTGTCACAATTTTAAGCTCCCTCAAGACTGTTTTGTTGCGTTTTTTTCAGTTCACATCTTGGACTGTAAGTGCACAAATGTTTCTTTGTATGCACGTTAACGTTGAGTAGTAAAGGTTTATGCTGTATTCTAGAGCGTTTGTCGCAGTGAAAAAGTGTTCTTACCAAGCAAGATGATACGTTATACATAAATCAGTGATATTTTTTGCAGTGTAAAAAGAGCATACGAATAGCTGCCTGCATATACGCCAGATACGAATACAGTTCCGTACTTCACTGCCAATGAGTGTATCTCAGGCACATAGCGGTAGAAAAATACAACTGTTATGTGTATCTATATTTAGCTGAATCAGTTAGAATGAGTAGAGAATATTTCAAATATGAAACTGAATTTCCGATTTGTTTTTGTGGATTGATTCGTTCTTGGTTATATTATTTTGCATGAAATGTACTGGTAGGAATTGTCGGTAACGCGTACTAGGAGATATTGGTTAAACGATCAATGTTCATTCTTGAAATATTCTTGTGAAAATATTATTCATTGTCAGTAGGTACTTGTGTGTTCCTCTTTTTGTTTTGATTAAACACAGTGAAAGATGAAATTGAGTAAAGGAAGAGGAATTTCTTGAATTCCTTCGACTTCTTAGTCTTATATTATTCATTACTGTTTCACTCCAGTTACTATTGTTGATGTTCTCATTGCAGCCATCATTTTTACTAGCACTGCTATTATCACGTTATTCTCTTGAATATATGTCAATCTGTTTGATTTAAGTCCTCTTCGAATCAAGAACTTTCCTTTGAAGTTGCGAATAATTAAAGCCTAGAGATTCTGATTGAGACGATATGATAGTATCTCTGTTGTTGTTGTTGTCGTCGTNGTTCCGCCCATCATTATTATGTTCGTTTTATCTTATTCAATTTGAAATTACTGTTGGTGTTATGGGAGTGCTTTTGAATGCAGTTAAGCTTGTTTGAATGAGTTGCACTTTGAAAGTTTCTGATACGAGTTGACAAGTAAGCGTGGCGAAGATTGATATATGAATGTGACGACATATGTTGGATTAAGCAAATAACTTTCAGTATGCCATCAATGTCATTTCTTGCGAAACGTTCCGTCGGTCTCCTGGCCGGCGGTCTCGCTATGGCCGCAGCACTTGCATGGTTTATCAAAAGGAATCGATCGAGGAAACACCTGAAAATGTTCATTTCTCTTATTCAATTCATTTACGATTCAATTTTTAATGTTAATATTTCTGTTTGTTAAGTACAATGTTCTGATTGAATAGCAACGTGATGAAAGATTTGAACCATCTGAAAGGAATGAAATCCCTGAAAATTTTGTGGTTCATTCGTCTGAAAATTTATCACTCACTGAGGAATTCAATCACCATGAAATTGCTGAAATAATAAGTCTGTATGACAGTGTATTTTTTTAAAGCATACATATATAATGGTGAACTAAACGAGTTTTGTAGTGCATAACGTTGTCGATGAGTGATTTCATAGTGAATAATAATTCGTTCAGCGATGATTATCATCTAATAATGATACAATCACAGGCTGGAGGCTGGTGACGGTATCAGTTGCAAACAGAGCATGCCACTAAAAGGTGATAACAATAATAAGCAGCAGCAAGAAGCACGATCGACTAAAGAGAGTTATCGTCAGCAAGAGGTTGCTGATCACAACGATGATAATGATAAGGTTGTTTAATTCGTTCTTGGAACTTTATTTGATTCGTTTTGTTCGTTTGCTGAAAATGAATCGTTGTGTGGACGGGTTTTGCTGATAATTGAATGCATAATAACAGACATCGAATAATGATAATAATAACAGATGCTACAATAATATGAAATTGCCATATCATACGAATCTAGACGCATAAATTTGTGCCTTCTCATCTGATCAGCGTCAAAAAACGTGTCAATCTTGAAATTATATTCACTTCATCAATCGCTGCCGTCCATAATTTAAGCGTTCTATTCTCTGGCATTCCGTTTCAGATCATTTTTCCATGAAAATTTCGAATGCAATATTTATTTATTCATTCATTTCGCATCTTTGAGTAGCATTAATTCATAAATTTCGACTTTCTTCTGTGATAGAGCCATCAGAAATGATGAAATTATTCGCTTTGTTGAAGAATAAATAATATGTTTTGAAATGCTGCTATATTCGTTGTAATTGATCGATAAGATTATGAATTTATCCTGGAATAAATTTGTTCCATTATCACGGCACAAACGTCGNCTGATGGAATATTTGCGCTGATTTGTTTTGTGTTATTCTTTTGTGAATATTCATCTAGCTGAGTTGTGATATTTTACGTATGAGATGGTTTAAACTTCACCAGGTTGAGTGCTTTTCAGAAATTGATGTTGACAGAATTTACTTGCAGATAATCATCCAAAAGGAGCAAACTTCTATATTGGACTCAGGTGGCGGGGGTGATGGACATAGTTGCGTCACAAAATTGATGATACCTGAACAATTGACAAAGGTTTGTTGTTGTCAACTGATTGTTCTGTAAGGAATTCTCGGTGGATTCGATTCATATTGCCGTGTTAATTAACTGAATGTAATGGAAAAATTATGATGATTTTCATAAAAAGTATTCGTTTATTTTGTTTTTGTCGTTTGTTTGTGCCGAGTGCAGAATTAAAGCAAAAGGCAACGATTTATTATTGTAACGTGCTGACATATTAAAAGAGTTTTTAATGATTATAATGAATGCGACAGGTTGTTACTGAAATAATTTTGTATGATAATTGCAGCAAATACCAACATCGATGGTCGATAGAGAAGAGGAATCATATGAGATCAACTCATCCACTGAATCGTCACCTCTTTCCTCTGAGCACTCTGGCGATGTGGAAGAGGACATTGTTACTGAACAGTGTACTCAAACACTTGTTAGTTTCATTTCATTTGTTTGTTTATTTCGGTTTGGTTGTGCGATTTGTTCGTGTATAATTTCAATTGTTTATCATTTTTATGATTCATCATCAATGATATCACAAGTTCATTTTAATTAGTTCTGCTGTATTCTGAGTTAATAATGGTATGAGCAGATTATGCAACACATCAACGCAAAATACACTCATTCAGAAACTCCTTATCATACGCAATTTTGAACTGCGACAAAATTGACAGTGGATTCAAGTCAAAATTTGAATTTTACAAGATGCATGTGAAATAGTTAGCTGAATGCAGTGAAAGTGAAAGAGTTATTATTATGATGATTTTTTAAATAATGTAATGACTCATCACTTGTACATACATACATAACTTTTCAAACTTTGTTTTATTGAAGAATCTTCTCCTCTCTATCGCTTCTAAGATGTTTTTCTCAAAGCGAAAGTAAACTTAAATATTGATTCTTTACAAAAAGAACATCTTCCATGTTTGTTTATTTTATTCCTCTTTCGCCATTTTTTATGATGAAATGTTTTGTTCAGAAGATCTGTCTCAGCTGAGATGAATGATTGTTGATGCACAACAATTGTAAATGAATCGTTGAAATGAATTCAAGCATACACATTCGTATTGGTGCATTCTCATAGAAATAGCGAATGCAACAAGTTTTTTGAAATTGTCATAGTTCTGTTTCATCGAATGGTGATTTTGGTTGAATTCAATTTTGAGAATTTCGCTCAATGAGAATTTACTTTTAGCTGAGTTGATAATTTTCGTCAAATAGTATGAATATTTTGACTGATTTTTTAAATTCATTGTTATTCAACGAAAATGCTACCATATGGAAGTAGTCAAAATAGACGTCTTCTCCTTAAAGCTTCTGATTTATAGCGTATTCAAGCTAGCTGTCTCCAATTTTATCTGTTAGTGGAATGGTATATTTCTCAGCAGTGTTGTTCGGATGTGCATAAAATATTAGAGTTGTGTTGTGTAACACGATTACCGAGATAGCTGTTTTGCCATGTAATTAACGCGAATGTGAGGCACTCGTTAGCATTTTTATAAGTAAGTGCATCTTCATTGTGTGATCACTTCTTCACAGATGTTGTGCGCTTTTATTTGAGGTGGTGCTGTGAGTAGTAAACGATTACTGGCTTGTATGGTGTGGCATATTACACTTCCTTTTCGGATTGTCTCTTGATGAGAAATGAACGCTATGTAAAAGTATCTGACCATTTCATAGTCATGCTAGCTAGAATAGGACAATTTGCAAGTAGAGTATTAAGAAATGGATTCGTTTATCATTGATTGCAATGCGTAATGAAAGCAGTTGGTGACACTGACCAAATGACTGCATTGTTCATTTATTTAAGGCGAAAGCACAACAAGCAGCTGTTAATCTAACAAAGGTTTGTGGTGATGATGAATCTCGTAAGGCAACGTCAACCACAAAGAAATTGGACGGTGTATTGAAATTAGATACCGAAGAAGCACCATTCAGTTGGTCAGATGAAGTTGAAATGACAGCCATCAATAAGCTTTCGTCACCCATTCAAAACTCAAACGCTGCAAATCACAATAACGCTAATAATCTCTCAACAATTTCTGAGCAGTCTGCAACAACCGTTCAGCAACAAATTGGTAATATTGTTACAAATGATACAGCATATAAGCCAGCCGATTCACCGAGTGCACGAAGTGAGGTATGTCGTTTTTGAGCTGAAATATCGCTTTGTTTGCACGGCATTCAATTATTTTTTTTNNNNCTAAAACAAATATTTGGCATCAATATTCGCAATGTTTGAGCATTAGGGATCACAAGTGGAATGTTTACAGTTATGAAAATTCCAAGGATGTAACGAATACAAACATTGTATCTTCACCTTCTAGAAGGTGGTTTATACAGCTGATATGAGAGGGGTTAAGGGTTTCTTGTTTTGATTTCGCCATTGATGCATGTGACATATCAGCATCAATGGGAAGCTGTTGAGTGCTACCATATAAAGATATCAATAAAACCATTATTCGATATTATAACACTAAAACTCGGAGTGTTTTGTCTCTGCAGTAATGCTTTTACACACGATACGATTCATTCATTATCTTAGATTCATTTATGTCAAAATCATCAAACGCTTACATCTCTCTCTGTGCTGTCACATCATCACCATAGGTATCTTGTTTCAAAGTGGCTGGTTTTTACGCGGAATGTTTTTTGGAATGAAACAAGTAATTTTTATGCAATCGTGCATATTGGTCTTCCCTTTAATCTTGTAAAACCGGCAGATGATTCTGACTTCATCGAATAAGAGTAAAAATGCATTAAGATCACACAAATTTCAACTGATGGAACATATGGGAACCACCGATCGAGAGTGTTTTTCATTTGCTCTCTCGCATTTTTCATCAGAAAATCAGTAAACTCGTGTCAAGTACATCGACCAAACATTGTTCATTTGCAAATTGCACAACAAAACACATCGTCGGATTACATCATGATTCGTGCGTATTAGTTGTGTACTGAACACGTCTGCTGCACATGCAAACTTTTAATTCAAACTGTTGACATATTCACTTTTTCGGTAAAGTGTAAAAAGTTTCATTGCGAATGAAATTGTTTTGTTATTATTATTGTTGTCATTATTAATGGCAGATCGCTTGTTTTGCATAAACTGAAAACATTCATCGAAAAATGTCAACAGTTGAATCACTTGGCGGCTGTTCAGCAGTTGTCAAACGATTGGGTCACCAATGATTACGATATTTTTGTTTGATTGAAAAATGAACAAGGAACTGATTTGTGTTAATTTCCACGTGGTATCTGTGGTGGGAGATGAATAAATAGATGTTTGGTTGCATTTGTGAGTTGGTCAAACAGTGATTTTCGTTCCTTTTTCGGTAAATCTCATTCGGAATCGCCTTCAGGCGTGCACCAAATAGCAGAATAGGGGCATTCTATGTGTTAGATGTAAAATAAATGAATGATTTCTTTGTATTCACATTTGTTTTAGTTCGATTTTAGTTTTGTTAAGAAGAAGAAGAGTTGATCAGTTTTATCGTTTTTAAGTGGTCGAATTCGGTAAATTGCTATTATTCGGTAAATTAATTGTTTTTTTTTGTTAATACAGACTTGAGATGACTTTGAGCTGAGATGATTTCCAATTAATTGATGTGTGTCTACTTGATAATTTTTCATTTTAAATTGAGACTTGGATAGATCTTCAAACAAGATAGGTGGCGTTAGGAGGACAAAACTTTTTCTCGTTGAAAAGAAGGGAAAAGAAAAAGTGACCAACGAAATAATTCATCATAAAGTTTCGAAACGAATGAAGTTGATCTGCGTATGAATCGAATCCATTCTCCCACCTTGTTCCTATTCGCAGCCAATTTGTATTGTACTTATTCATCATGCACTCAAAAGTATGTCCAAAAAACTGGTTTTGGTTAATTTTTTCCCTGTGTTACAATTCTGTATGGAATGAACTTCAGTAACATGTTTTTTGATAAGATGATAGAAACATTTACATTATTTGTGCCATTCAGGGGAACGTATTGGAAAGGTGTGCTGTTGGTGAGTGATTATTCATTAAAAAGGATTCAGTTGTTATCTAGTTATCAGAACACTAGTGTCATCGATGCCGTAACTTTTTATAAAGAGTCGGTCTGTTTTATGACGAATTCTGATTGATTTCGGAAAAACTTTGTGCACAATCATCTGGCGTTCGAGTGCAATTGTTACGAAATCGGAATAGGAAGCTGCTGAAGAGAAGATTATGACTGAGGGTGGTAAAAAAATAAATACATGAGCGAGGAGGGTACTGTGTGAAACAAAAGCTATTATGGGCACAAATTGAGCAGTTCGGTGATTAGTACTTTGAATAATAATTTAAGGGTAAATGAAGAGTTAGTTAAGTGAACACACGGCCTTGATGAAGATGAGAGTACTTGTATGTGTGTGCGAGCCTGTGAGTGTTGATTCGCATATTATGATGATCAATGTTTTGATGAACCATCCTTGAGATTCGTTATTTATTGGATGTTATATTGTATAAATTTACAATATGTAGACGTTTTTGGATATGTTCAGTAGATTTATGTCCTCCGTGAATCTGTGAAAATCGAATGAGTAAGAAAGTAGATGCACCAAAAGGGTTTATTATTCATGACACATATCATTCATTATCAAGCAATACAGTCGCACATTTTATTGCTGTATTGAGACAGTTGAGGCACTCGTATAATGATGGACACGAGGGAAGCGAGGTCTTCCCTCAAGGAAAGGCCATTCTTAGTTGTAGTCTTTTTTGTTGGCCTAGTCATCGATATTCTCACCTAAATTCTTCAAACATTCGAGCATTCATTCTCATTACGGTTTGTACAGAAAACAGTCAGTTTTGTAATTTGTAATTTGCATGTAGGATCATTCTCGATTGAGTGAGCATAATATGTATTCAAGCACCCACCGACAAAGGTCAGCTGATAGGGTCAGACTGCAGCTGAGTAACTAAAATATTCTTATAAAGGTAAATAAATAATGAGAGCGATCGTTTGCTCTGCTCTAGAGTTCATTGATATCATATAGTTATGAATATCATTTCATTTCATCAAAAGGATGAGATATT